GTAATATAATTCTCTATAATTTTTATTCTCTACATAATTTCTCTAAAATGGACCGTATTTGAGATATTTGAGAAAATGTGTAAATTTCGAATTTTGAAGAAAACTCAAAAACGGATAAAGAAAAAAACATTAAATTTTAAACTTAAGGTTTATTTCAGCCTGTCGTGAAATGATTAGATTTTGGACAAAGTCGGAACATCTAGGGGGGTACTTTATGGGAGGCCGTTTTTATATTTTATGGAATATATCTGTTATTTATGTTTGGAGAGGAAAATTGTTCAAATAAAAGTTACTTCTAATATTATTATCTGTAATTTTTGTTTTATGTAAAAATTTCCTGAAATGGTCCGTATTAGAGAAATTTGACAAAATGTGCAAAATTCTGATTTTTATTATGAAAGTTTTTGAAATAAAAGTTGTTTGCGATATCGATCTCTATAATTTTTGTTTATACATGATTTTTCTAAAATGGACCGTAATGAAAAAATTGTAGGAAATTAAAATTTTTCAGTATTTTCGTTTTCCATGAATATCTATAGAAAAATGTTTCGAGGTAGATGTATGTGGACAATGTATATATTTAGTTTATCCTCTAAACATTTATATAACTAGATAGGAAAGTCATGTGTTGGACACATCAGATTTTTGAATATTACTTTATTGAATGTCAATATTAAATATTTGATGTGTCCAAGATGTGACTTGACTGTAAAGTTTTCAAATATATTGAATACGGCCCATCTAATAAAAAATCTTTAGAATATGAATTATCTACACACATTTTATTCGAAACATTTTTTTATATTCTTCATAGTCCAGGAAAATAGTGAATAGTTCAAATGATTAACTTTTTTCGAATTTCTCCATTTTAGGTCATATATTATCATAAACATGATAGAGAATGACGTCACAATTCACAAACAACTCTTATTAAAATATTGTTTTAATTATAAACCGATAATCCGTCTATGTCCAAAATCTTATCAGCTCACCGCTGGTAATCTGTGCTTAAATTTAAAATTTGGTATTTTTCTCTTTATCCATTTTTGAGTTATCATGGATATATATATATACTGTGAAGGACTAGAGAGAAAGGTGGCGAATCGGTATACCCGAAATACGGTCCCAAAAAAACGATTCATTGATTCATTTATAGTTTACTACTCGATAATTTGGTAATTCCATAAATTTTATTTCGAACAATCACCCATACAGCACACATTATTTCAGAAGTGTTTTAGAAATATTTCAAACGTTTCAAACATAACATTTCAAGCACAAGTTTCTGAAATATTTTAGTTAAATATTTCACTGAAAGTGTTTCTGAAACATGGTATATATGTTACACACAAGGTTACTAAACGGGTTATGTTGTAAAAGGCCAATACTTAATGAAGAATTTCTGAATTGTAAGAAGTTCAAGATGGGATATGTAGTCATTTTATTTCATCCTATGTCCAGCCATAGACAACCCTATATTTGAAATAATAATGGATTTGAGTTGTCGGTTTTTGTCATTTTCTTTTATTTGTTATTTATGCGTTGTGCTGTTGTTATATGGGAAGTAGAATAGGCAAAATATATCTTTAGAAATTGAGGCGAGTATTACATGCTTGTTTATACAACATTAAAAATGTTTCAATGTAATATTTTTTTATATATCTCCGAAATGTGTTTGTCCTGTATGGGTAGATACATCGAACATTATACTTTTCGATAATTTAGAGGTTTGAAAAATGAGATATCAAAAAACAAATATTCCAAAACATGACTGTTTAGTTAAATGTATTACAAAAATATATATTTACATAGACAAAAATGAACAGGTCAACCTTATGTGAAAATAAAAAATCTGATGCTAGTCTTTCTAAGATAAAACTATTCTAAAAACCCATTGCAATGGTTCGCTACCCGCTTAATTCTGGGTTTGCGTATTTGTCAGACAACCCAGTTAATTATCAAATTAATTTTTGAAAAATTATGTATTCGATAAATAATTTTTCGAAAAAAATTCGTAAAATCTGCAATTAGAATAGTATTTTAAATATTTGAGAAAAAATGTCGTTAGCCACTAATGAAATATTTTGCAAATTACAAAAAAAAAATTATTTTGTATATTGTATACAACCAAGCTAAATATTAAATAATAATTATTATATGATTTAGTAATCCACGTTATAAATATCTAATTGTATTTTTCTTCGTTCTAGTTCTCATAATTAAATAAATTATAAAATAGAATTTATAATTATTGTAAATATGCATGTTTGTATCAAATTATCAGAACAGACCAAAATCAGCTCCAATGAATCGAGTTTAATTGATGTATACAGAGGATCTCATAACCCGCAAGATCGGTTAAGCTCCTGGAGGATGATGCATAATGAACCTAATAAGGCCTAAGTGCTGTGGGGGACAACTCCTCAACCAGAAACGTTAAGGGTTCGTCTCGCTCGAAAATCAGTTTGCATTTTACTTGAAAAACGGTATATACAAATCTATCTATTGGTTATATTAAACGCAATAAGCCTTATTATTCAGCCAGGAAGTATAAATGGCCATTCGCACACGCCCGCCATTACGCAATTATTCTTCCAGCACGAGAATCTTTTTGATCGTTCGGTATTGGTTCCGGCCCTGAACAATTAATGAAAACTCATAAAACGTGCGTTACGTAAAGAAGATCAACGCAGCATGCCTTGTATAATAAACAAACCGAACTAAACAAAACAAAGCCATTGGCGCTCTCTCTCTCTCTCAAAATAAATAGAGGAAGCGAAAAATAATAATAGGAAAAATGGTCGGAAGACAACAATATAACTGTATTTATTGGCACACCTCTGTAGGGGTTTCATGTTTGATTGATAGTAGAAGAAAAAAACTTAATTTTTTTAATTACCTATATAAAAAGATTAGGTAGTGCGAATAAAAATTAAGTAATTTTTTTCTAAAAAATGAGAAATAAATCGTACTTATATTTTAAAAGTTCTTAGAATCTATATTAAAAACATAAATATATAATAAACAAATCGCTATTACAGCAAAGGGAACTAACTATAATAATTATAATTACATCAAGGGCAACAACGATGAAATGAAACACCTGACAAGAATGTTATAAGCAAACAGATACAGCAAAAAGGACATAATCCGTACTACGCGCACATGGGCAAGTCTAGTGAATAACTATACGTAGCAGGTCTCACTGACCGAATTGGGCAAATCCTAAAAAAAAGAAACTAGAACTGTCAACAAGCCAACAAAGAAAATAACGGAATATCTTAGAATAGCGAAAGACCACAGAGACACCTTCACATCAGCTAACAGGAGTCTACAGAATTCCATGTACTTATGGAAAATTACACATGGGACAAACACAAATAATAGAACACAAAAGAAGTTGTCGTTTAGGACAAACCGAAAAGTCGCAGTCGCCGAACACACATTATCCGATGGGAAATACAAGATTCTTTTCTAAAACACCGATTTACTAGCAACATCAAGACATACAGATAGCAGACAAGCACTACTTGCTCTGAACAGACCACGAATTTACTGAGGGTTAGTATAACTAGTAGAATGTTACGAAGCTTTGGTCAAGTATTTATCAACAATGTGATCACCTTAAGATGGATCAAAGGTCACGCCATATCGTCTTGCTGTTTCATTAGTCAAGAAGGCAGTCAGCTAAATACTTTTTTGGACCTGGCCCTTTTATTGTACTGACAACATCGGTAGTGACAGAGCCTAAGATGGGATAAAACAAGAAACTGCAGAGTTGCCAGGGAGCTTTTAAGTTATCCTGACAACAAATATTTGACTATCTCTACTCTCTAGACAAATCTGCGTCTGATCACAGGCATCCTGACTTGTCATTGCCAAGTATGGAAGCATATCCATATCTAGGGGGTACGAACAAGAAGATAGCATCTCTTGGCGACGTTGTCAACTATATTAAATCTGCAGGTTATCCATTTAAAATAATGGTAAAAGGTCGAGATACGCCCCACTTGACGAGACCACTCATCTCATACATATTTTGGGGCGCTGATTACGAAAGTGAGGGTTAAAACTGGCAGCAATGGTTGGAACACCCCTAAAATTGCAAAAAAAAACACCCCTAATTAGGGGTGTTTTTCGACTGTACTTGTTGTTTTGCAAACTAAGCCATCTTATATGTTTTTTGGGGCGCTGATTACGAAAATAGGGGTTAACACTTGCAGCAATGGTTGAACAACCCCTAAAATTGCAAAAAACACCCCTAAATAGGAGTGTTTTTCGACTGTACTTGTTGTTTTGCAAAGTAACTCATCTCATATGTTTTTTGGGGCGCTGATTACGAAAATTGGGGTTAAATTTTGCAGCAATGGTTGAACCACCCCTAAAATTGCAAAAAAACACCCTTAGATAGTGGTGTTTTTAGGGGTGGTTCAACCATTGCTGCAAGTTTTAACCCCGATTTTCGTAATCACCGTCCTAACAACAACAACAACAACAAGACAAACTTTTAAGATTATCCTTATTAGCGATTCTTTAAAACCAGTATTAAATGCTAAACAGCTTTTAAGTGCCCGCTGTATATATACATGGTAACTTTAAATCCAGTATCTTCTTATTTACCACATTAAAACCATTTTAAAACTCAAATAAACCCAAAGTGCTTTTATGATGCTACTTGGGCTCTTATCATTAGTTTACAATAATAAGTAGTAGGTATACAGTTAGAGGACGCCAAATACACCCTATTAAATTTAAAATGTTTGCTAATTTTTGAGAACGTTTTCATTAAAACAATAAAGAACTACTGCTGAATAGCGGACTGGAATATAAAACACAATCAGTAAATAGACACAGATTAGACGAGAAAAAAAGCGAGTGAAATAGCAAAACAATAGTTACACGAGACTTCTGGCCTTCTTTAAGCTCTTATGTTCTACGAGCATTTTAATTAAGATGATGTTTATTTGCCTCGGGTAATTTATCAACGTATCGGCGCGACGTTCTGACATACTGCTCCGTCTGAACGTTCTTCTGTTTTCTGTTATCCCTCCACGTGCGCCCATGCCCCACAAGCATCTCCATGAGCGCAAGCAAGCGGGCAAGTAAGCACATGCAGGCAGGCTTTTCAAAATCGTCAAGTATCCTTGCTCGCGTTTCAATAGTGTGCTCTGCTCCGCGAACCCGCAGATATCGCGCGCGGTTCTGCGTCGTAAAACAATCGACGATCTACACTCGTCGCGTAGCAGCGTCTGCCGTCTCTTGTTTCAGATTTTAATCGCGTATCCGGTGCAACAAATATTTTTCATCCATACGCGAGACGATTTTGTAACCCTACAGAAGCGGTAAGTTTACTTGGTCATTATCAGTGACAATAATAATTTTAACAAAAACTGGCATTCTATTATAACTACCTGTCGCAATGTTTTTGTCTTTTTAGGATGTCGCATGACCTTGCTACTCGGAGATTATCATTCTTTTGACGGCAGGTAAAATTCACCTGATGGATGTGCGGTGTTTGGGGGAAGTGGGATTGGAGGTGAGTAATTTAAGAAATATTTTGGTTGCTGTTTTATAGCGTGTGACTGTTCGGGTTTCCCCTAATTAAAGCGTGCGTGTTAAAAACACATACCTAGGTAACTGACATACATTTTGTTTATTATTTATATTTCCTTTTGAAAAGTTATCATTGGTAAACAATAAGTTATTAGATATAAATATGTATATTTAAAGAGTAATAATAATTATTTAAGGGGAATAGTTTTTCGTTGCAAAGGTTTCGTACACACTAAAAAAATGTGTCCAACACATGACTTTCCTATCTAGTTATTATAGGCTTTTTCCGGTTATTTTGTAAAACCTATTGCAGCACCTCTATAAATGTTTAGAGGATAAACTAAATATACCTATACATTTTCCACATACATCTAACTCGAAACATTTTTCTATAGATATACAATTAAAACAAAAATATTGAAAAATTTAAATTTAGCACTTTTCCTCCAATTTTTCCATTACGGCCCATTTTAGAAAAATCATGTAAAAAACAAAAATTATAGAGATCGAGATCGATTTTATAGATAATAATATTAGAAGTAACTTTTATTTAAACAATTTTCTTCTCCAAACATAAATAACAGTTATATTCTATAAAATATAAAAACGACCTCCTATAAAGTACCCCCCAGATGTTACGACTTTGTCCAAAATCTAATCATTTCACCTCAGACCGAAATAAAACAAGTTTAAAATTTAATGTTTTTTCTTTATCCGTTTTTGAGTTTTCTTCAAAATTCGTAATTTACACATTTTCTTAAATATCTCGAATACGGTCCATTTTAGAGTAATTTTGTATAAGATAAAAATTATAGAAAATTATATTACAAACAACTTTCGTTTGAACAATTTTTATAAAAAAATATTTTTTTTTACATTTTGTAAAATTTCTCGAATACGGACCATTTTAGGAAAATTTAGAACAAAAATTATAGATAATAATATTGTAAGTAACTTTTATTTAAAGAATTTTCTTCTCCAAATGTAAATTACAGATATATTTCATAAAATATAAAAATGACCACCTATAAAGTATCCCCCCAGATGTTCCGACTCTGCCCAAAATCTAATCATTTCATTGGAGGCCGGAATAAAGCTCAAGTTTAAAATTTGGTGTTTTTATTTGTATCCGTTCATGAGTTATGGTGGATACAGACACACACACAGACAGACATCATCGCGAAAATAGTCGAAACGGATTCAGGGGACCCCAAAACGTAAAAATTCGTCGAAAACTGGAGGTCGAAAAAATCATAATAATAATAATAATAATAATAATAATAATACTCTCCCTAATTCACCCCCTTACGAGTGAATTTCAACCCCTGAAGTCGACTGAACGACTTGTGTAGGGGAAGGGACGGCTATTATTATTATTATTATTTGCCGTGGCGCTTCGGGGCGACTTAAAGATGATTGATGGTGCCATTTGACTTACAGGTGAGGAAAACCCGGAAAACCTCACCCACCATCATCGAGACGGTAATGTATGGCGAATTTTTTTAATCTGCATGTCATATCAACAGAAATTGAATTTCTATTAATACGCCACACATCAAATCCTAAACCGAACCATGCAATTTAATTAAAAATCCACATGGTCTGCTCTGGGATTCGAAACCCAGCAGTCTCAGACTTGCCTATAAATGAATATAAGCGCGATAGACCGATACACCACCGTCCTTATCTGTATACAGATAGGAAAGTAAAAAGAGCTGCTTCGACAATTAAAAATTTTGAAAGGGGAAGATGAATTTATTTTTCGTTCTAAAATAAATCAAATTAAACTAAAGAAAAACAGACAAATTTATATTAATGATCCTATATTTGTATTTCTGAAATGATATGTTAAGTAGTTAGAAATAATTAAAACATAATTAAAAACAGTGAAATATAAATCATTGTCTCAAAATTTGACAATTTTTTTCCCATTTAATTGACTTTATATCTTAAGTGGTTTACGAAATCATAATAGTGTTCATTTAAATTATCTATTGTTCAAATCATTTAAATTATATGATAGTATACACACTCAGATCCAAGGTCATTTTAAAATCATTTAAAACCAATTAAAATTTGGAAATTTTTATGAAAATATTGGAATTCGTTTCATTAAAATTACTATTTTATTTTTTTACTACTTAACGGTTTAGTATAATACAAATTCAAGTGTCTGGTTTATTTTAAAATCGTTTCGATTGAAAATAGAACCGTTTAATAAACGGCCCATCTGACGATTCATTTCTTATAATAATTATGATTCATTCTCTTCTAATGCGCGAAATACGAGTAGGTATAAAATACATACATATAAGGTACCACCAAAATAATTATTTATAGCGAATGACAAACGGATACAACAACAATAATAACCGACAAACAAAAAAAAGTGGTCAGTACATTTGACTAGACCCATTTTAATACACTGAATCCGAATATGAGGTCCATTTAGCCCTACACCCTCAAAAGTTTAAGTAAACAGTAAAAAACCGCTAAAAGTGGCTACAAATCACGAAAAATTACAATTTAGTCAAAATGGATCTAATCAAATGTACTGACCACTTTTTTTTGTGTGCCAGTGCAATAATTAATAAAAATAGCATGAGATAAACATCACATTCCTTCATTCTTACAGTATTCAATAAAACAAAACAAAATTTGGATTCATTTATTTGTAAAATATTATATTTGTCTGTTATCACTTCTAAAATCTCCAAAAACAGGGCTCTATTGTATGCTTAATGAACTTGAAAAAAAAAAAATAACACGACTACGCATCTGGTTGAAAGTGGCCCTAACACAAACACCTGTTCCACAGATATTTTGCCGGATTACGTTGAGAACCATGAATAAATGATGTTGCTGTATCATCCAGAATTTATGTATATGAGTTTGAGCAGATAAGAGGCATACATAATGTTTTTTGTTTTAAAAAAAATGGCCACAGAAATAACCTTGAACTTCATATTCATTATACGTGTACATGGTGTTCCAACAACTTATAGAAACGAGTGATTTTTCTGTTATTTATTTTTAAAAGCATCTATTTCATGCCTAAGACTCCATTTTCCATAATTGGAAGTGTTTTGTATTTCATTTACAATAAATTTTACATAAAAATTCGAGAAAATTATATAATATATAAGCATTCTGCATTCTTACAAACCCATAAATTCTAAAGTGTTCATTGTTGTATATTGCAGTAAGGAAATGAATATTTCCTAACAGTTTGGAAATCTTGTCTTTTTCTTTAGTTCGATAATTCAACGTAGTAGCGCAACCCATTTTATTACGAATTTCAAAGCACCATTTACGCGATTTTTTTTAAAATTAATTAATATTTATCGAATTTTAAACGATTTGCGGAAAAATAGTATGTTTACCTCGTAGGAAAAGTCACATGCCTGGACTCTGTGTTGCTAAGTCTCGGCTTGTACCTCGACTTAGCAATCTTCATAGTCGTCCAGGAATGTTAGACTTTTCCTACTTGGTAAACAATATACTATTACTGTACTTTTTTACCCGTAAACCCGAGTATTTCCTACGCCCATGTAAGCCCAAGGCCCTTGCAACGATAAAAATATCTCTTGATGCTTTTACCTGGACCTGCCAACCCTTCCTTTTACCTTTCAAACAGTCTAAATTGCAGCGGGGCCGGATCATTATAAGGGAACCGAGGAATTCGAAATTAGTCACGCAGACCGGATTCATAATAAATAAAAAAAAAAAAAATTAACCGGAAAGGTATTTCGAATCCCATCGTCCATTTCTGTTCATTAATTTTAGTTTTTACAGATCATTCGTGGTATCTTTTGATGGGTTTGATAATTGTTGTAATTTATTTCCTTATGCTCAAATAAAACTTAAACTAGTATAGATGATTTGACGGGTAGTAAAATCAAATATGAAAATCTTGCAAGCAGTTTTTAACGTATTAAAGTTAATTAAAATAATTTTGCTGCCTTATTTATTAATAATTTTGTAATTTAGGTATTTTTTTTCTTAAAATAAATAAATGAATAAATAATGTGATAAGAAGTTGGCTTCTTCGACTGATTGCGTTACCTACCTAGAAATTCCTACAATAAATATACAAACCATTGTCTTTAACTATTTTAGTTATTTAGATCACATCTTTTACATAGCATACGTATTGGCATTTATACATTATGTAGGTACCTAGGTACATCATGAAGGACGTGGTAAGCTTAACAAGTACAATTTTATGATTAACACTGTAGGAACTTCTTCAGCGGCTTTTTGCCTTTTTGCATTCACGGTTTATTTCCTTATATACGTATATGGCTTGTTAATATTTCAAAAACAAACACATTATAGTACTTAATGAACAATATTTTATTTCTTGACATAACGACCACCCAAAAAGAATTGTTTATTGTCAGCATTACCTATATTAAAATTATTTAATGGTTTGACGGTAAGTGTTTGAAACGTCAATCAAGCGCTAGAAATACCGACCTTGAGAAATAGGTATGTATGCGTAAATTAATTAAAAAAATTCTGTTTTAACACGGTCTTAAGGTACTTATCAAATAACCCAGTAACAGTTACCCATTAGTTACCTAAACTCAATTTTCAGGAATTATAATAATAAAAACAAATTGTTATTGATAGGCACTTTTAGATAAAACCGATGAAAAATATTGTTCCTAGAAAGTCATATCAGTTGAATTTAAATAATCGATTACGCTGTCATATGTTAGTCAACAAGGGTATGTCAAATTGAACCTAGGCTACGTGTTGTTCATTAAACCAATATTTGAAAGCATTAATTGAATGTAAATAAAAATGCTTCTTGATAATAAAAATATACTGTAAACTAAATAGATGTAAAGCCGAAACCTTTCGTTACAGAACTAAATTATATTTATTCAAAATATTTTATAATAATAATTATAATACAAGAAATTAGTAATGTGAATATACGTCTGACCTTGCTATGACATGTCGCATGTATTATTG